GAGGACTTTTTCTCAAAACCGCGCGGCCGCTTATGCGGCCGCGCGACATCTCTCTATATACAAAGTGATCAATGAGAAGTAAACCACCCAATCTTTCTCCCTGAAAATCAGAGTTAAGTTTGGAGCATGGCCACAGCCCCAGAAACACAAGGACTCAATGCAGAAACCAGCAGCTTAGAGCAGAAAAGTGAACGGACGATGAGTTAACCCAGGCCATCATTTCTGCCCAGAGGGGAAAGGGTGTTGCCCCATTCGACCTCTCTTCTCTAGAAAGAAGGATGGCGGCCGCATGGGAGCCTTGTGGACAGCAGGTATGAGCCGGGGGTGTGGGGGGCGACTAAAACTTCACGAGAAGGGGGGCATTCCGGTCCGTCCTTCACGCCCTACCGAGGTCAACAGTTGCCCCCCACGAGCGACTCCCTAGCACGGCCACAGTCCCAGAAGCACAAGGACTTAATGCAGAACCCGGCAGCTTGGAGCAGAAAAGTGAAAGGACTATGCGTTAATCCAGGCCATCAAGTCTGCTGGAGGGGAAAGGGTGTTGCCCCATTCGCCCTCTCTTCTCTGGAAAGAAGGATGGCGGCCGCATGGGAGCCTTGTGGACAGCAGGTATGAGCCGGGGGTGTGGGGGCGACTAAAACCTCATGGGAAGGGGGGCGTTCCAGTCCGTCCTTCACGCCCTACCGAGGTCACCAGTCACCCCTCACGAGCGGCTCTCCAGCACGGCCACAGTCCCAGAAGCACAAGGACTTAATGCAGAACCCAGCAGCTTGGAGCAGAAAAGTGAACGGACTATGCGTTGATCCAGCCCATCAAGTCTGCCGGGGGGAAAGGGTGTTGCCCCATTCGCCCTCTCCTCTCTGGAAAGAAAGATGGCGGCCACATGGGAGCCTTGTGGACAGCAGGTATGAGCCGGGAGTGTGGGGGCGACTAAAACCTCATGGGAAGGGGGGCGTTCTGGTCCGTCCTTCACACCCTACCGAGGTCACCAGTTGCCCCCCACGAGCGGCTCTCCAGCACGGCCACAGCCCCAGAAGCACAAGGGCTTAATGCAGAACCCAGCAGCTTGGAGCAGAAAAGTGAAAGGACTATGCGTTAATCCAGGCAATCATTTCTGCCCAGAGGGGAAAGGGTGTTGCTCCCTTCCGCCCTCCTCCCTCTGGAAAGAAAGATGGCGGCCACAAGGGGGCCTTGTGGACAGCAGGTATGAGCCGGGGGTGTGGGGGCGACTAAAACCTCATGGGAAGGGGGGCGTTCTGGTCCGTCCTTCACGCCCTACCGAGGTCACCAGTTGCCCCCCACGAGCGGCTCTCCAGCACAGCCACGGCCCCAGAAACACAAGGACTTAATGCAGAACCCAGCAGCTTGGAGCAGAAAAGTGAACGGACTATGCATTGATCCAGGCCATCAAGTCTGCCGGAGGGGAAAGGGTGTTGCCCCATTCGCCCTCTCCTCTCTGGAAAGAAAGATGGCGGCCACATGGGAGCCTTGTGGACAGCAGGTATGAGCCGGGAGTGTGGGGGCGACTAAAACCTCATGGGAAGGGGGGCGTTTCGGTCCGCCCTTCACGCCCTACCGAGGCCACCAGTTGCCCCCACGAGCGGCTCTCCAGCACGGCCACAGCCCCAGAAGCACAATGACCTAATGCAGAACCCAGCAGCTTGGAGCAGAAAAGTGAAAGGACTATGCGTTAATCCAGGCAATCATTTCTGCCCAGAGGGGAAAGGGTGTTGCTCCCTTCCACCCTCCTCCCTCTGGAAAGAAAGATGGCGGCCACATGGGAGCCTTGTGGACAGCAGGTATGAGCCGGGGGTGTGGGGGCGACTAAAACCTCATGGGAAGGGGGGCGTTCTGGTCCGTCCTTCACGCCCTACCGAGGTCACCAGTTGCCCCCCATGAGCGGCTCTCCAGCACGGCCACGGCCCCAGAAGCACAAGGACTTAATGCAGAACCCAGCAGCTTGGAGCAGAAAAGTGAACGGACTATGCATTGATCCAGGCCATCAAGTCTGTCGGAGGGGAAAGGGTGTTGCACCATTCGCCCTCTCCTCTCTGGAAAGAAAGATGGCGGCCACATGGGAGCCTTGTGGACAGCAGGTATGAGCCGGGAGTGTGGGGGCGACTAAAACCTCATGGGAAGGGGGGCGTTTCGCTCCGCCCTTCACGCCCTACCGAGGCCACCGGTTGCCCCCCGCGAGCGGCTCTCCAGCACGGCCAGGACTCCAGAACACAGAAACCAATTTCTTAACTATCTGACTTTCAGTAGAAATACTTCCAGGGTCAATAGGTAAAAGAGCAGAAATCCAAAACCAACATTTAATTCTTGAACCCAGCTGTAGAAAGCAAATCACTTCACAATGCTTTTTCAGCATGTCTGATTTGGGGGGGGGGGGTAAACTCTAAATAATAGTGGTGAATCTTTTATTGAAACAATGAATCTAATCAAAGCAGATAGAGTGTTAACTAGAATTCATCTGCCTCACAGGGACGGGGAGGGGTGGGGGGTGGGGTTTTATTGGGGTTCTTCATGGTAAAAAATAAGTATTGGTAAAGGGAAATGTGTTTGATATTTGCATGACTGAGACATAAACCTGAAAGCTTTGTAACCTTTCCCACAGTGATTCAATAAATAAAAAAAAAAAACTTAAAAAAAAAAAATAGAATTCATTTCAATTCATTTCCATTTCATCACAAAACATAAAAAAAATTAGGATAATCTGTGTCTGGTTAAGTCCTGGCACTGAGCATAGAGACAAGCTGAGTGGTCGAATGGCTTTCTCAGGGTTACGGAGCACAAGACTCAATTCCTGGAGGCCAGAATTATGCATCAGGCAGCAGGCATCTGGCCACACACTGGAGACATTGATTATTTGGTTGTTCAATGCTCCTTATCTACAAATCTCAGAGCTTCACTGCATAAAGAGTTGGCACCATCTATACCCCAGCCCCTCTGGCTTCCTTTCAGTCTCCTCAGCTCACTAGACACGCCTCCCATGGGGCCCTGGTACTGGCTGGTTCCTCCATGAGCAATGTCCTTCCTCCAGAGCCTCCCACAACTGTCTCAATTCATGTGTCGCCTGCTCTGGAAACTCTCCTCTGAATGCAGAGCCCAGGGGCCAAACACAGCTCATCAACCTTTTTCATAGCAACTTGGAACTTGTTCTTCACGATTTGAAAGGTAAAAGCACAAGAGGAGGAATATCTGTGACCTGTGAAAATGATCACTGTATCACTGTCAGTGTCATCCATTGTTCATCGATTTACTCGAGCAGGCACCAATAACGTCTCCATTCATCCCATCCCTGAGATTTTAGCAGCTCTCTTTACTGTCTTTCCCAACACTAACATATTGGAGGCTCTTTCAGGTTCAGGGGAATGAAACCCATTATTGTTACTGGTTTTGGTATATCAAATATGCCACGGGGAGCTTGCCAGGCTCTGCCGTGCAGGGTGAAAATGATATGGTGTCCATATTTCCATGTCACTAATAAAGTTGTACTGGGCCATGAGCATGCTTATTCATCTACCTTAGGCTGCAAGGTCTGAGGGACTAGTGCAGACAGATAATAATCTCATGTTTAGACTCTTTATAGAGTACACGGGTACCCTGGCCATGGCGTCTGCCCGCTTGGTTCTTTTCAGAGGAGTTTCTGGTGTCTAAATTCTCTCCTGCCTGACAGTGCCTCCACCAAAGAGAACAATAGCTCCAAGCGAGCAAAGACTGACTTTTCCTGCCTCTGTATTCCTTGCGGCTGACACACAGTATTTCTTGAAAAGGTTTGTTCTGTGTACTCATGCTCCTGACATTAAACACTGGGCAAGCTGGACCTCTTCAGAAGGCATCAGCATTGCTATTCCACACAGCCATTCCATTTTTTTCCCCAGTCTCTCTTTTCTTTTTGGATGAGGATAAAGCACAGAAAACATCCAATCTGGCTCCGAACAATTTCTAGGTGTGCACAGATCAGTGTGCGATACAAGAGTCACTAACAGGCACCACCCCCCAGCATGGGACTCCTCCCATGCTCCAAAGCTCGACCTCTGTCCCCATTAAAATACTAATTCCCCATTTCTCCCTCCCCACCACTGCTTTATTTTTTTTTTCTTTTTGGGCCTCACCTGGTGATGTTAAGGGGTTATTCCTGGCTCTTTACTAGGAATTACTCCTGGGAGGGCACAGGGGACCATATGGGATGCCGGGATGGAACCTTGATCGGCCGCATGCAAGGCAAACACCCTCCCCACTGTACTACCGCTCCGGCCCCTTCTCTGCTTCCTGTCTCTAAAATTGGACCTCTGCTGGAAATAGAGGGGTTTAATCAACAGATGTGAAATCAAGGAATCCTGAGCCAGGAGCTACTCCAGAGCTGGAGCAGTGCACTGCATGCAGGGGGTCTGGGCTACACCTCCAGCCCCAAACGGTTCCAGGAGCACAGCCAGGAATGTCCCCTGTGCTCTAGACAAGGAATAGCCCCCTAAACACTACCGGCAGTGACTCCCCAAAAGACAACTAAATACATACCTAAATAAAAAGGGATCCTCGTTGCTTTCTGCTTTGATGCTAATTTGTGTGTGTTAGTATGTGTGCATGTGTGTTATTGCTTAAATTGTTTCCCTCCCATTTCCCCATAAATGATCTCATACATTTTAACTCAGGTACAGATTTTGAACTCATGATCTCCTTGTACACAACCTGGGGAGTCATTCATCACTGGTTTTCCTGGGGAACAAGGCGTTACCACCGTGGGGGGCCCCAGAGGCATGCTGGTTTCCTAGACCTCAACAGCGGTGGGGAAAATGCACCAAGGCAAGGAGAGAGCCCATGTTAATCCACATGCCACAGCAAATCCTTCGTGGAAACTAGGGGGCTGGGGAGCTCACGACTGAAAACCAGAAGCAATCACAAAGTCAACCCATTTTCCAAGATGATGGCCCTGTGAGGAGGTGGGAGCACCCCCCCCACTCCAAGACCTCCCTTCCCCACTCCCAGGCCGGCCTCACCTGTGACATTGGCGCCACGGTGCAGAACCTGCGACATCCAGGTGTAGACGGCTCTCTGTGCGTGCGCAGACATGGGGTCATAGCTCTCCTTGAACACAGCTGATCTGAAACACAGGTGGCACCGCGGAGTCAGCAGGTATCAGGTCCACACCCCTCTGGCTGACCAGCTCTCCAGATTTCACCCACTGGCGGTCACTGGAGAGCCGGGCAGGTGAGAACAAACTTGGGATTAGCGGGGTTTGATCCGCTAGGCAGGTGGGGGTTTTGGTGAAAGTGGATACCAGGAATCAGCCCCGTACACACACACTCCCGGGAAAGAGTAGAAACCAGACTGTTGGTGACAGCCCTAAGGTGAGGGAGACAGGGTTGGTTGAAAAAGAGCAACCCTGAACACTACAGAATGTTATAAACCAAATAAATACAAATTAAAAGGAGTGGCAACTGTCTCCTCATCTGTCTGTGTTAGAAGCCCTCCCCACACTTTCGCTCTGTCATTATTTTTCCATTTCTCCTCTTCCTCCCATGCTCAGTACCCTCCAAAGTGGGGTCTCTATTCCTTACCTCTTGGTGACTTTTTACTTTAGCAGAACAGCGGTGTATACATTGAATTTACACGCATACAACTCCAGGGACCCAAAGGGTGGGTCAGTGGCAAAAGAATCTCCACAAGCTGCATGCCGTGAGTTTCACTCCAGAGATACCCGCCATGAGCCCAGGGATGGTTCCCTGCAGCTGTGAGGGAATCCCTGAGCACCCCAAACCTTGTGTGACCTCTGGTGTCAGGATTCGATCACTGGCGCATGTGTGCGTGCATGCGTGTGTGTGTGTGTGTGTGTGTGTGAGAGAGAGAGAGAGAGAGAGAGACAGAGACAGAGACAGAGAGAGGGAGGGAGGGCAGGAGCCAGAAGTACCACCACTGAAGTCTGGGACCCCAACAGCACCATGACCAGCCATGTGTACAGCTCCTGGTCATCAGAGCGTCAACAAATAGAAGGGAAGGGGAGAAAAAAGAAAAAGAAAAGTGTGTGCAATTCAGCCTTTCTTTTTTTTTCTTTCCTTAAATTTTTATTAGAAAACACCATGAGGTACAGTTGTAGACTTACAAATTTTTGTGCTTGGGTTTCTGTTGTACAATGATCGAATACCCATCCTTCCACCAGTGCCCATTCTCCACCAACACTGATCCCAGTATCCCTCCCACCCACCCCCCCAACCTCCCCATACCAAGAAAAGAACACTACAGGCCGATATCACTGATGAACACAGATGTGAAGATCCTCAACAAAATACTAGCAAATAGAATTCAACAACTCATCAAAAAGATCATACACCATGACCAAGTGGGATTCATCCTGGGGATGCAAGGATGGTTTAACATTCGGAAATCAATCAACATAATCCATCATATCAACAAAAGAAAAGATAAAAACCATATGATCATATCAATAGATGCAGAGAAAGCTTTTGACAAGATCCAGCACCCGTTTATGATGAAAACCCTCGTCAAAATTCAGCCTTTCTTAGCCCAGTCACCGAGGTCTGCCAGCAGGATCAATTTTAGAGCCTTGAAGCATCTCGGAACAGACCCGAAGCCTCGAGCCTGTTCCTCCTGCTTCCCACACTGAAAGAACTGCGGAGTTGTATGGTAGACCTAGTTTGGGTTTTTTTGCGGAAACTCAACATGGTTTTCCACATGTGGTTGGCCTGTAGTTGGCCCTTCAAGGCTCTTCAGAGTAGCCACATGACTTCTGTTCTCACCAGTGATGCATGGGGGCTTGTCCCAAGTTGGGGCTACCTGACATTTTGGTGCCAGATGGTATGCAGGCTGGGAAGTGACTTGGTCATTTTTTTTTTATTTTTATTTATTTATTTATTTATTTATTGAATCACTGTGGGAAAGGTTACAAAGCTTTCAGGTTTATGTCTCAGTCATGCAAATATCAAACATATTTCCCTTTACCAATACTTATTTTTCCCATGAAGAACCCCAATAAAACCCCACCCCCCACCCCTCCCCGTCCCTGTGAGACAGATGAATTCTAGTTAACACTCTATCCGCTTTGATTAGATTGTTTCAATAAAAGATTCACCACTATTATTTAGAGTTTACCCCCCCCCCCAAATCAGACATGCTGAAAAAGCATTGTGAAGTGATTTGCTTTCTACAGCTGGGTTCAAGAATTAAATGTTGGTTTTGGATTTCTGCTATTTTACCTATTGACCCTGGAAGTATTTCTACTGAAAGTCAGATAGTTAAGGAATTGGTTTCTGTGTTCTGGAGTCGTGGCCGTGCTGGAGAGCCGCTCGTGGGGGGCAACTGGTGGCCTCGGTAGGGCGTGAAGGGCGGAGTGAAACGCCCCCCTTCCCATGAGGTTTTAGTCGCCCCCACACTCCCGGCTCATACCTGCTGTCCACAAGGCTCCCATGTGGCCGCCATCTTTCTTTCCAGAGAGGAGAGGGCGAATGGGGCAACACCCTTTCCCCTCCGGCAGACTTGATGGGCTGGATCAACGCATAGTCCTTTCACTTTTCTGCTCCAAGCTGCTGGGTTCTGCATTAAGTCCTTGTGCTTCTGAGGCCATGGCCGTGCTGGAGAGCCGCTCGCGGGGGGCGACTTGTGACCTCGGTAGGGCGTGAAGGACGGCCGGAACGTCCCCCGACCCATGAGGTTTTAGTCGCCCCCACTCCCCCGGCTCATACCTGCTGTCCACAAGGCTCCCATGTGGCCGCCATCTTTCTTTCCAGAGAGGAGAGGGCGAGACTTGGTCATTTTTTAAGCACTAATCCGGTTTCTCCCCACCACACTGTGCCCAAGATCCCAATGGCCAAGAGATCCTAGTGCCAGAGGTCCCATTTCATTAAATCACAACAAAATTTCCCAGGTTTTGACACTGATCACTTTCTGATTCATCCTACAAAACAGCTGATTCTCCTCAAACCAGGAACTTTTCCCCACCCCCACCCACCACCACTGAAATCAATTCACCCAGTAACCTACTAGGCAAACTGATCTTAAACCAATCTTAATATTTTCTCCCTGGATTTTTTTTTTATTATTGCTTCTTCTTCCTCTTCCTTTTTTCCCCCCTTTCCCTTCTTTGTTGTTTTGTTATTTTTGAAGAGTAGCATGGGTGGAAGGATCAAGGCAGAAAATCAAATAAAACAGTAAACCTTGCTAAGGACACACTGACCCGCTTGCAAAATTGCTGGTTCTCTCTGGCCCTGAGAACTGACCTTGTGCAAGTACTATCGCCTCTGTGATGAGGCCTCAGGTTCCTCATCTGAAAAGGGGGCGTGGGATTAATGAAGAGACAATCTCACAGGGACAAGAGCATTGGAGGGACAGAGCAGAAAGAGGGAAAAACTGGGGTTCAGCGCCAGAGCAATAGGATAGCAGGAAGGGTGCTTGCCTTGCACACAGCTGGCCCATATTCAATCCCCGACACCACATAGGATCCCCCAGGCACCACCAAGAGTCAGTCCTGAGCTCAAAGCCAGGAGTCAGCCCTGAGCACAGCTGGGTATAGCCAAATAAATAAATAAATAAAAATAAATAAAAACAGCTGGGGATCAGATTGTGGTGCCTCTATACACCCTGGGCTGCTATTCAGCTCTGAGAGAAGAGGAAATTCTGCGATTCCCTGCAACTAGGATAGGACAAAGGGCATCATGCTAAGCGAAGTGAGGCAGTTGTCAAAGGTAAATATCAGACAATGTGTCTTGGAGGCAGAGTACAAAGAAACAAAGAAAGAGGGAACGGAGCTGTTCAGGCCCGCAATGCTGGGGATCCCCAGGATGCCCCACAGTGCTAGGAGCTTCCTGCCCACACCCCCACCAGCGGTGCTCAGGGGACCATGTAGCCAGGAATTGAACCCAGGTCGGGTATATGACAGGCATGTGCCCTAACAAGTGTACTGTCTCCCAGCCCCCTGACCTTGGGGTGTGTGTGTGTGTGTGTGTGTGTGTGTGTGTGTGTGTGTGGTGTGTCTGTGTGGCTCTTTGGGTCACACCCAGAGATGCTCAGGTATTACTCCTGGCAGTGCTCAGGGGACCATATGGGATACCAGCGGTAGAAGCCAGGTCAGTCATGTGCAAGGCAGATGCCCTACCCTCTGTACTATTTCCCAGTGTTCTCATTTTGTATATTTTTATGTTTGCCTTTTCTTAATCCAAGGGACACTGGCTTTCCTCTTACAGCGATACAGTCACACATTGCTTAATGGGTTTCAGCTGATCACCGATCACAGCCCTGACAATGGCCCAGGGTGACACTGGCCCAGGTATGCAACAGGCCCCAGAACTTGGGTTTGTGCAAATAGATTCATGATGGCCACACAAGGGCAAAATCATCTAAAAACACATTTCTTGGAACTTCCTCTCACCACATAGCAACACATTCCTATAATATGAAATTTCATTTTAGTGTTTTTGATTTTAATGGGGAAGATGGTTACCCCTGGAAGCCCTCAGGAAAATATGCGGCACCAGAAATCCAGCACACGAAGCACATGCTCTACTCCACTGAGTGATGCCTCTAGCCCAAAGTAAATGTTACATTAAAAAAAATTAAGTTTAAATAAATGAGTCATGGGGCCTGAGAGATGGTACTACAGAGAGTACATAGGCAGTCCTACATGAGGCCAGCCCAGGTTTGACTCTCGGCACCCCATTGGGTTCTTCAATCCCTGCCAAGAGTGATCCCTGAGCACAGAGCCAGGAGTCATCCCTGAGCACAGCTGAGTGTGGCCCAACCCCCTCTCTGGCCAAACAACAGAGAGTCACTGAAAGGGTAAAGAAAAGCACAGAGAAGGGGCTGGAGCGATACTACAGCAGGTAGGGTATTTGCCTTGCACACGGCCTACTCGGGTTCAATTCCCAGCATCCCATATTGTCCCCCGAGAACTGCCAGGAGTAATTCCTGAGTGCATGAGCCAGGAGTAACCCCTGTGCATCGCTGGGTGTGACGCAAAAAGCAAAAACAAAAAAGAAAAGAAAAGCACAAAGTAAATGACAATATAGACAGTGCATCAAGGAGGGAATTGTGAGGATGGCACCAGAATGATTGAAAGTAGGAGCCATTTTCATCTCTGAACTCCACAGGTGTCAAGTTTCTGCTGCAGCCCTGACACGCCAACCTCCTCCCCTCTGCCACCTGGGCCTGCCGGGGGTGGCAGGGCTGGGCGTCACTCACAAGTTCCGGAAGGCGTCTTCCCTCAGGTCCTGAGGCAGCAGCGCAGGGGTCTCTGGCTGGAGCAAGCTGCCCGAGGAAGCCCGCAGCAGGCGGCCCAAGACCTCCACACACTCCAGGGGGTTCATCACCTCGAAGCACCTCTCCAGCGTGACGCGGAAGAGGCTGCGCCTCACGCCCGGGCTCTGCAAGGCCTGTCTCCGTGCCTCGCCCAAGTCCACGGCTATGTCCTCTAGCTCCTACGGGAATCAAGGAAGTGCGGGTTGTTTTCTGGGTTGCTTGTCAGGACGAAAACCCTGGGAGGAATCCCACGTGGCAGCAATGGAAACATTCAGGATCATATTCATGCTGCTATGGGAAACCATCTAGAATGTTCCATGACCTAAAGAATAAAGCCAAGTGCCTCCACACTGAGCAACATCTCTCTGCATAGCCCCCACCTGTCCGTCACACCTCAAGTCTTTGCTCTGGCTGGAGTTTCCCTTCTACCTCCCCCTCCCTGCAAACATCTAGTTCATTCCTATAAGTGAGCACTCAATCAACACTCGTCACCTTCTCGGCGAAGCCTTTTTCTGATGCTCTCCTACTATGGTCAAATCAAACCTCCCTCCAGTATTGCACCCAATCTTGACCCAAACTCTATGTCAAATATCTAGGTTCCTGTCTTCCTCTCGAGCCAGGTTATTCTCAGCCCTGGCTGCATATCAGAATCACCGGGAAGCGGTCCCCAGATGGAGACTGATTTCTGCTTAAGTCTGGGGTGGAGCCAGGAAAGTCCTTAAGGCCAGTCCATGTGCCTCATGGATGCCTGGGACCAAGAAAACACTGAGAAATCTGTTAGAATGTGTGAGCAGCCACAGCTTGGAAGCCGGCCTCATATGCTGGGGGGAAAGGCAGCTCAGATAGAGAAGGGAATACCAAGTAAAGGTCTTTGGAGGCCCCGCTTGGATTGGGAGATGCATGCCGAAAGTAGACTGCCGAATACGATGTCCACTCAATACCTCTATTGCAAACCACAACACCCAAAAGGAGAGAGAGAGCAAAAGGGAATGCCCTGCCACAGAGGCGGGGTCATTGGTGGTGAAGAATGGGCACTGGTGGAGCGATGGGTACTCGATCATTGTATGACTGAAACGCAAGCAGTGAAGTTCGTACGTATGTAATTGTACCTGATGGTGATTTACTAATAAAAAAAAAAGAAGAATGTGTGAGCAAGTGAGTGAGTGAACAAGAAATGAACCTTTAGGCGCATATGCTGCCCGAGCTTGTGTGCTGCTTGTGCCCGCGTGGCCTAGCACATGTGGTGCCTGAGCACATGTGTCGCCCGCATTTCCCCTCTTGAGATGTGTACTTTTATGCTTTCCTATATAAGGCTGGGGTGTGTGTAGGGGCTTCCTCTGCCCTTGGAGAAGCCCACGTTCTCCCTAGAGTGTGTTACTCTGTCTCACTTACTCTCCACTCTCTCCCACTTTGTCTTCCTCCTTCCCTTCAAAAGTCCTCCAAATAAAATCTATTTTACTTCAAAAAAAAAGAAAGAAAGAAAAGAAATGAACCTTTAAACCAGAGAACCCAACCAGATTCTGAGCCAACCCAGATTCAATCCCTGGAACTACAGATGAGCCCCACTAGGAGTGATCCCTAAACACAGAGGCAGGATTTAGCCCTGAGTATCCGGGGGTGTAGTCTGAAAGTCAAAATTAATGAAATGAAAAACAAACCGCAGATCACAGGAGGAGCTGGAGTGATATAGTACAGCAGGTAAGGTGCTTGCCCTGCACGCTGCCAACCTGGGTTCAATCCCCAGCCATCCCAAAAGGTCCCCCAAACCCTGCAAGGAATGATTCATGCATGCAGAGCCAGGAGTAACCACTGAGCATTGCTGGGTGTGGCCCCAGAACAACAAACAAACAAACCAAAAAAAAAAAAATACATGGAACCCAGGAATGTTTCCAGGTTTAGTTAAAGATCTGTTCCCCAGGGCTTCACCTACTACCTTCTCCAAAAGTAACATCCGCTCACTGAGCATAGACCATAGGCCAATCATAGTGCCAAGCGCAGAGCAAACATGGAGCATGATGCCATTTCCATGACCCAGAGAACCTAGAGGCAGATATTTCTCGGTTCGGGTCCCAAGTCCTCCTGTTATCTGCGTGCCCTGAGCAAGCTTGCTTGCTGGATCAGTTTCCGTTTCCTTCCCAGTGAAATGGAGCTGAACCCAGTGCCTAACTGGTCCAAACGTGAATGTGGTTGAGCTGGTGCATCTCATCAATGCACCGCAAATGTTCATATGCTATCCTCATCTCTGGTCACATCTCTACATCCTCCAGGGGAGCCAGGATCTGAAACTACTGGGGCATCTGCCTCCAAGTCACCAGGTTCAACCACGACAGAGCACTTCCTCATTTCCGTCCTGAGACTCCATGGCTGAGCAGAGCAGAGGTTCACAATGACACTTGGGGTTCTGTGGATAGAACCGGGGGGCAGCTGCAAACCTTGGGGAAAACCTGCTGCCTCATTTTCATGACCACAGAACTGATACTTCTGCTGTTCAGGGGAGAGCATTTGGGAGCCCCACTCAACAGGAATAGGATCCCTGCTCTAGCCTCAGTAGAAATCAGAGGGTGGAGTGAGAGTACAGCAGGAAAGGCACTTGCATTCATGAAAACAACCGAGTTCAATCCCTGGCAGCCCATATGGTCCACTGAGTTCCACCAGGAGTGATCCTAAATCACAGAGCCAGGAGTTGTTGGCCCTGAGAACTGCTAGATGTAGCCCCAAAACAAAACAAACCAAAAAAAGTAAGAAAAAGAAACCGCAAAGCTAACTTTATTATGACGGCAAGGATGCCACATGTCTCAAAATCTCCTTGACATATCACACTCTTTCCAAACAACAGCGGGGGCTGGAGCAAAAGCACAGTGGGTAGGGCATTTGCCTTGCACGTGGCCGACCCGGGCTCAATTCCCAGAATCCCATATGGTCCCCTGAGCACCACCAGGAATGATTCCTGCATGCACGAGCCAGGGGTAACCCCTGTGCAATGCCAGGTATGACCCAAAAAGCAAAAAGAAACAAAAACAATCAAAACAACAGCAGTTCCCCCATTTGACCCAGCAATACCACTTATGGGAATATACCCCAGGGGTCCAAAAACTCAAAGCAGAAACACCATCTACACTCCTATGTTAACTGCAGCACAATTCACAATAGTCAGAATCTGGAAACAACCTGAGTGCCTGAGAACAGACAAGTGGATAAAGAAATTATGCTCCATTTACATAATGAAAGACTACACAGCTGTTAGGAAAAATGACGTCATGAAATTTGCCTATAAATGGATGGACATGGAGAGTAGCACACTGAGTGAAATGAGTCAGAAGGAGAGGGACAGCTGTAGAATGACTGCAGATAGATAGATAGATAGAGAGAGAGAGAGAGAGATACACACACACACATATATATCTGTGGTAGAATTGTTTCTACTATAGAATATATAGCACAGAAACAATTTGCTGACCACAAAATCATACCTGGCACATGGAAAGCCCTCAGTAAGTATTCGTCAATATTTTCAGAAACCCCACCCCTATTTCTGCCATACCTTCTCACTGTCTTTTCTATCTGCACTTCACATTTTCATTTACTCTTTATCCTTTTTTCACGGGGAGGGTGGTGATGGGAGGTTGCCCCTGACTCATTGCTCAGGGGTTGCTCCATAGTGATGCTCAGGGATCCGTATGGTGCTGGGGATGGAAGCTGGGAACCCCATACGCAAAGCACATGTTCCAGCCTTTGACTCTTCTCCTTGGCCCTGTTTAAGTTTTCTTTTAAAAAAGATTACTTCAGGGGCCGGAGCAATAGTACAGCAGGTAGGACATTTGCCTTGTACACGCTCAACTCGGGTCGACTGGGTTCAGTCCCCAGCTTCCCATATGGTCCCCCAGCACCACCAGGAGTAATTCCTGGAGTAACCCCTGAGCATCACTGGGTATGACCCCAAAAAAGGGGGGAAAAAAGATTACTTCAAAAGGAAACATTTTATCCAACAAAACCCTCAGGTTTGAAGCACCCACAATCCCTGAAACCACATATAATCCCCCAATTACTTCCAGGAATGACCACTCAGCACTGATCCAGGAATAGCCCCCGAATACTGATGGGTGTGGCCCCCAAACTCAATAATAATAAATAATAATAATAATAATAATAATAATGAAAGACAAACTTTAAATCTATCTTTGGGGATGGAGAGATACTACAGTGGGCAGGGTGCTTGCCTTGCATGTGTAGTCAACCTCAGTTCGCTCCTGGGCACTACATATGATCCCCTGAACATCTCCAGGAATGATCACTGAGTACAGAGCTGGAGTAATCCCTGAGCACATTCAGGCATCGCCTCCAAAACAAAACAAAACAAAACAAAAAACAACAGCAAGAATCTGTCATGAGAATGTTTATGTAGTTGGGCTCTGCACCCAGGAATTACCCCTGGCAGTGCTCAGGGGACCATATGGGATGCTGGGAATCGAACCCGGGTCAGCTGGGTGCAAGGCAAATGCCCTACCCACTGTGCTGTTGCTCCAGCCCCAAGCTTCTGGTTTTTGTCTTTCCCCCAAGAGGGAAGCAACCACCTCTCACCTGCAGCCCCAATGTGCACTGAGGTTGAAATAACTGTTCATGGGTGTTTAGGCTGCCAGGCTGTCAGAAGAGACTCAGTACCCCCTATTTCTTAGAACCCACAAGAATATAAATCACAAAGGTTCATCATTTGCGCTTCAGAGAAGAGTGAGTAAGAAAACCCAGGTCTCCCAGCTCCCAGAAAGGAAGAGCTTGAGAAGAACCCAGGCCACGACAGGCTTAGTTCAGCAAATCCTTGCCCTGGACTTCCGGTCTCCCCAAGCCAGCTCACCCAGTGCTCCTTCTTGTCTTCCAAAAGGCACCTCATGGCCGTGTGTAGCTGCTGAGCGTCTGTTTCCCGCAGGGCCTCCAGCAGCCGCCGGGGCTGGTACAACAGCTGCTTCAGGTGATTTTCCATGGTTGCCTGGATGTGGGAAGTTGGGATAGTCAAAAAGAAAAGGAAAGGAGCATGTGGTCAGCATCATGGTCCCCGATTCCCTGCAGAAACTGTGAACCATCACATTTGCTGTGGCTGGGAACAAAACTTCTTCATTAGCTGCCAACAATCAAGTCAGAGCTTCGGGCTGGAGAGAAGGTCCGGTGGGCAGGATTTTGCCTTGCACACTGTGGACCAGGTTCAATCCCCAGGATGGGGATGCTCTTCAGAGAGGCTGTGTGGCTTGCATGCGCCCCTGGGTGAGGATATTAGGGAATGTTAAAAATGTAAAAAAAAAAAGGGGGGGCTGGAGCGATAACACAGTGGGTAGGACATTTGCCTTGCACAGAGCTGACCCAGGTTCGATTCCCAGCATCCTGAGCACCACCAGGGGTAATTCCTGAGTGCAAAGCCAAGAGTAACCCCTGTGCACCCTGGGTGTGACCCCCCCAAAAGAATGTAAAATATGGTGCAGAGAGAGAATAGAACAAGCAGGGCCAACCCGACTTTGATTCCTGGTACTCCAAATGGTCCCCCAAGAAACACCAGGAGTGATCCCTGAGCTCAGGGCAAAAGTAAGCCCTGAACACAGATGGGTTCAGTTCAAAGACATAAATGAAAAGCCAGGGCTCACTAGAAACAGCATGAAGAATTCTCAAAATATTGTTTGATTGTTCATAATTATGGGGCACCCTCAGGAGGGAAACAAGCTGCATCCTCGCCTTTTAAAAGCTCTGGAAGCCACACACACACCCCACAGCTACCACCACGTCAACAGCCCAACTACACTGTTTCATAACAAACCTCTGCCGAGATGACAAGTGGACAAAAATTCCTGGCACACCAGTTTCCAGGATGAAAACTCTGGGATCTTCTTGGAGTGGAACAGGCTGCCCCGAACTCCACATCCCATACTGCCAGAAGCCCCAGTATCACCATATGTAACTCAAAAAGAAAGAGAGAAGGGAAGAAAGAAGAAAGAAAGAAAGAAAGAAAGAAAGAAAGAAAGAAAGAAAGAAAGAAAGGAAGGAAGGAAGGAAGGAAGGAAGGGAGGAAGAAAGAAAGGGAGGAAGGGTGGGAGGAAGGGAGGGAGGGATGAAGGGGAGGAGGGAGGGATGGAGTGGAGGAGAGAGGGAGGGAGGGAGGAAGGGACGAAGGAAGGAAGGAAGGAAGGAAGGAAGGAAGGAAGGAAGGAAGGAAGGAGAGAAAAGGAGAGAAAAGAGAGAAAGAAAGAGAACAGAAAGAAAAAGATAGAGAGGAAAGAAAGAAAGAGAGAGAGAAAGAAAGAAAGAAAGAATAAAAAAGAAAAGAAAAGAGAGAGAACACTCAATGGGTTGAGTTCAGCTTTGCATGCAGGAGACCCAGGTTCTATACCCAGTACCACATGGTCCTCCAACCACTGCTGGCCACAGATTCCAAACACCCCAGGTGTGGCCTAAATATCAAAATTTTTTAAGAAATACCCCAAAACCCAAAATTAAAATGTATCTACTATCTGATCCTTCAATTCCACGCCAACGTATCCATTCAAAGAATATAGATATTTTCATTTGAAAAAATATACACACATGGGCACTCATTGTAGAGCTAGTGACATAGCCAAGATCCAGAAACAACTCAACTGCCCAATGACAGGTAAGTGATCAGAGGTGCAGATTCAATACACAATGCAGTCCTGCTCAGCTATCAGAGAAGATAAACTCTTGGCTTTTGTAACAGCGTGGAAGAAACTAGAGGGGGTTATGTAGGTGAGAGGGAGAAAAATACCAGAGACTCCCACTCAGATCTGGAGTACAAGGAAGCCGGCCAGGAGAGCCCGTAAAACCAGTGCAAGACTCAGCCAAGGTTAGGGACATCAGCAGGTGGGGGAGGAATCCCCTCACGGGTGGTGAGCGTGTGGTAATGTATACTTCAAAGAGCAATGACATGGTATCCCTAAAACACGCCGAGTCAGATAAATTAATGCTAACTCTGCTGGAGAAACGAAGACAAGGGCAGAGCAACAGTACAGCGGGTAGGGCATTTGCCTTGTATGCGGCCAACCTGGGTTCGATTCCCGGCATCCCATGTGGTCCCCTGAGCTCTGCCCGGAGTAATTCCTGAGAGCAGAGCCAAAAGTAAAGCTCTGAGCAGTGCCAGGTATGCCTCCCCTCCCCAAAAAAAAGAAGGAAAAGAAGAAGAAAAAAAAAAGAGATGAGTCAAACCATGCCGGATTGTGGCAAGGAAGAACTGAGAGTTGTGACATATTTTCAGTATAGCCTGAACATGGTGAGCAGCTGGCCCATGCTGGCTTGATTCTCTCTCTGAACTGAATAGGTACCCAGTATCTCCCCCATAGAATCAATTCCGCCGTGTGGGCAGCTTTGGGACTGTGAGTTCTGGGTCTTCCTAGATCCAGAACTGTGTAAGGCAGAAAGAAGATGACATGTTACAGGAGTTGTGAGCAAGTGACCAGGAACTTAAGAAGAGAAATGGTCTAGACACTGCTTGGGTTTCTCTCTCATTGGAGATAACTGGAACACACGTTTTTTCTTTTTAGGGTACTGAAGATGGGATTCTGGGAAATGATGATCCCCCAGCATTCTGGGTCTAGTTTTCCCCCTAAATGGTGACTCATCTCCTTTTTATTACAGAGTAAGTAAAAACTGAAACACTTGCATGCATGTCAGAACTTCATTGATGACATGAATTCTTGGCTCAATCAGATAATAGTTCTGGAATCAATATGTCCTCCATGTTCTGTGCTGTTCATAGTGTGGTGGCTAAGAGAGGACACACTTCACTGGGCCACAGGTCATGCTAATGAGCCTGTGATGTCCCCGACGGTCACACTCTCCACCAGGCCTTCACGTGCTCCCAAACAAATATCCACAGTCATCTCCTAATGTGCTAGTACTCCTGGTTTGTTTAGAGTACAGCTGATAGAGGAGGAAGTTCTTTCTTTTTGTAGGGTGGGGGGTCACACCCAGCGATGCAACCCAGGGATTGCTCAGGGATTACTCCTAGCTCTACATTCAGGAATCACTCCTGGCAGTGCTGGGGGACCATATGGGATGCTGGGGATAGAACCCAGGTTGGCTGCATGCAAGGCAAATGCCCTACCTGCTGTACTATTGTGCTGGCCCTGAGGAAGTTATTTTTTTTGTTTTGTTTTGTTTTGCTTTTTGGGTTACACCCGGTGATGTACAGGGGTTACTCATGGCTCTGCGCTCAGGAATTACTGCTGGCAATGCTCAGGGGACCATATGGGATGCTGGGAATCGAACCCAGGTCAGTTGTGTGCAAGACAAATGCCCTACCCGCTGTGCTATCACTCCAGCCCCGGAGGTTGTTTCTTTCTTTCTTTTCTTTTCTTTTTTCTAATTTTATTGAATCACCGTGAGATAGTTACAGGCTTTCATGTTTGGGTTACCATCACACAATAATCAAACACCCATCCCTCCACCAGTGCACATTCCCTACCACCAATATCCCCAGTATACCCAATTTTTCCCACCCTCCCCCTGCCTCCATGGCAGACAATGTTTCCCATACTCTCTACTTTTGGGCATTATGGTTTGCAATACAGACACTGAAAGGGTATCATGTTTGGTCCATTACCTACTTTCAGCACACATCTCCCATCCCGACCGATTCCTTCAGCCATAATTTTCTTAGTAATCCCTTCTCTATTCCAGCTGCCTTCTCCCCTTCACTCATGAGGCAGGCTTTCACTGATGAAGCAATCTTCCTGACCCTTGTATCTACTGTCCTTGAGGTCAGCCTCATGTTATGTTATTTTATACTCCACACGTGAGTGCGGTCCTTCTATGTCTGTTCCTCTCTTTCTGACTCCTTTCACTTAGCATGATACTCTCCATGTCTATTCTTGACTGATCCATGATAGTCACACTGCCATGAGCACTCTTACATGATTCCCTCCAGTCCCAGAACTCCCCTGTGGTATCTGAATGCAGGCATCTCAGAGATTCTCTCCTCTTACTCTTCTGCACAATGAGGTGACCACAGACCAAGAGCCCCCGGAGAGAAAACAGAAGCAAGCACACGGCACGCAGGTGACACGGAAGGGAAGAATCCAGCCTGAGCTTCCTCTTTCCCACCCTCCCTTCCCCCGGCTTGGAGAACAAGTGACCTGTTGCAACCCTGTGTACACAACTTGCTAGATGCTGACAAAGCAACTGAAGCAAACAAGGAACTGGGTCTCTCGCGGGACCTTTAGCAACAGAGTCCCCTCTCTTTCTCTGGATACCCCTTCTCTTATCCGGGTTCTTCCATGAGAAATAATCCAAATGTTTTAAGGTGTTGTATCAACAATTCGTTCCTCTCCCAGCCATTCCCTATTTAAAGGGACCAACTCTCCATCCTCGGGCCCTGACTGAAAGAAAACCGAAGCACTTTCAAGAAGAACTAGAGAAAAAGGATGCTTGAAGGACCCGCTCGGAATGGGAGATGAGCGCTGAAAGTAGACTATAGATCGAATGATGGCTACTCAATACCTATATTGCAAACCACAACACCCAAAAGGAGAGAGAGAGAGAGAGAGAGAGAGAGAGAGAGAGAGAGAGAGAGAGAGAGAAGGAGAGCGCAAAAGGGAATGACCTGCCACAGAGGTGGGGTGAGGTGGGGGACTTGGGTGTGGGTCGTAGGAGGGATACTGAGATCATTGGTGGTGGATAATGGGCACTGGTGGAGGGATGGGGACTCGATCATTGTATGACTGAAACGTAAGCACGAAGGTTTGTAAGTCTGTAACTGTACCTCATGGTGATTCATTAAAAAATAAAGAAAGAAAAGAAAAGAAAAAAGAAAAACTGGAGAAGGGCTGAAGTGATAGCGCAGTGGGTAGGGTGCTTGTTTGCGTAAGGCTGACCCCAAGTTCAATCCCCAGCACACCCCCTATGGAGTGATCCCTGAGTGCAGAGCCAGGAGTAAGCCCTGAGTACTACTGGGTGTGGCCAAAAAAGAAAAACTGAGTAGAATACATTTCACACATTTCCCCTAGGTCTTCACCTGGTCCACTACCCTGAGTTTGCTCCCCCTTGAGCACTGAGAATGTAGTCCAGGAGGGAGTCTGGTACACACCTGGAGGCTGGAGGTGGTGAAGAGCACATCACGTGAATTGAGATAGTCCAGGACTCTGTGCGTCAGCTCCGCCGTCCACTCATGAGAGCTTTGGTCAAAGACAGACAAAAAGGTCAGGATACCAGGGCCCCCCGCAAGCTGCCCCCACAGCTGAGTGTCAGGGGCTGGATTCAGGCAGCGACCCTGAGCATACAGTGAGTGGTGTGGTGTGCTTAACCTGGCAGAGGTGGAAGGGAGCTTCTGATTCCAGAAACTTCCCTGTATTCTATGGTCTCCAATCTCAGAAATTCTTGATTTCCCAGTTGTGTGCAATATCTGAATTCCCATAACAATTCACCCTATGGTGAATTATTGTCCAGCTAGGCCTGGAAGGTGTCCTTGCTGTGTTAAGTTGGAAAGGGAGATTTGTGAGAGAGTCAGTGGCATGGTTCAGAGGCTAGAGCACTTACTTGGCACCTGGTCACTGTAGTTCGATCCCCAGCACTGTACAGTCCTCTATGTACTGCTGGGAGTGGTCCCTAAGCACTGTGCTGGGAGTAGTCCCTGAGCACTGTTGAGTGAGTCCTAATACCTCCCTCCCCCCAAAAAAATTTATAAGCAGATTTATAAATGCAAATAGGAGCAGATTCCAGGCATAGGCTTAAAACCTAGGTTGGGATACTAGTTTTTTTACCACTTCGTTTTGAGCCTGGAGGCAATTCACTGCCTAGCCTATCCCCATGCCTCAGTTTCCCTTTCTTTATAACATGGCTAAGAATTGGGAGGCTCCAAATTGTCCACACATGTCAAGTATACCGGTTTTCATAGTGCGATATTCATCACATTCGCTTAACACACATGTCAATTGCTTAAAACTATCCCCAGCACATAGAAAGCACTGAATTTCATTCCAAACAATCCCAGATTGGAAAAACTTCAAAGGCCAATGACACACGCGAGATTTAACAGAGAGGGACAGAGTATCCCATCCATGCAACACCGCCATCATGGAAAAAGGAATGTTGAACTCTTGCTCCCAGCTGAGATGGAGTATAATGAACCCTCTTGCCATAAACAGAAGGCATTTTTTTTGGCTTTTTGGGTCACACTCAGCAGTGCTAAGGGGTTACCCCTGACTCTGCACTCAGGAATTACACCTGGCGGTGCTTGGGGGACCATGTGGATGCTGAGAATCGAACCCAAGTTGGCTGTGTGCAAGGCAAATGCCCTCCCTGCTGTACTATTGCTCCAGCCCGCAGAAGGCATTCTTAAATCCCTTTTTCTTTATAAATAGATGAACACATGAAGGAGTTGACAAGTCGATGGGTAAATAAAGAAGATGCATAGCCTGAAAGACTATACCCTTAACTCTCAACTGGACTTTTTTAGGGAGTAGATTCTATGTGGGGAAGCATTAATTGAGCATGATTGGAGCCCTGCTCAGAAATACCAAGACCTTCTCCTTAGAGCCCATCACATTTGAGTTCTCTCTTAGCCCCTGCCCTTCTATAACATTCCCTAGAGCTTCCAAAGCCAGTCCTGGTCTGTCTGTGCAGAGAGGCATGGCAGGAGGACCAGTCATGGACACACACCCAGTTCCATCACTTCCAGGCCTGTGAGCCTGATTCCCCTCCCTGTGCCTTAGTTTCATTATTCTTTCCAATGGGCAAATAGTAGGTTCCACCTCAAGGTACATGCAAAGCCAGGTGTGTTTCAGCAATAGCACAGCGGCAGGGCATTTGCCTTGCACGTGGCCAACATGGCCAACCCGAGTTCGATTCCTCCGCCCCTCTCGGAGAGCCCGGCAAGCTACCGAGAGTATCTCATCCGCACGGCAGAGCCTGGCAAGCCCCCCGTGACGTATTCGATGTGCCAGACACAGTAACACAAAGTCTCCAATGGAGACATTACTGGGCCTGCTCGAGCAAATCGATGAACAACGGAAGGACCTTTACCTTTTACCTTTACCTATTGCTTTTATTTATTTTGATGTATGTTTATGAAGACGCTGTGATTTACAAAGTTGTTCATGACAGAGTAATTTTAGGCCTATGACGTTCCAACACCAATCTCACCCCACCACGAGTTTGCCCTTTCCCTAACCCCCAGAGTAACAAATTTATTTGATGTTACTTTTCCCAACAAAACTTAAAGGAATGGCCAAAAGAATTGTCAGAAAATACATCAGGTAAAGTCAATGTGTGTGATCAATTGCTTGATTAAAATGATTTTAACCTATATAAAAATCAATTCAAATTATTTGATACAATAAAAATTAATGCCTATTCTCACTAACACAAATAAACTTTCTATTCTGACATCTGAAATATGCTGCACTCAATTTTATTGTGTATTGCATGTCACTGTGGCCATTATCCTGCCTTCTCTAGGTCTGTTTTTATGAATGTCTCTCTGCCACAGAATAAGAGGGCAGTGAGTGCCCATGCTTGTACTAGAGGCAAGAGGAATAAAAGTAGGTAGAGAAAAGTGAGTCTACTCGAGCGGCTGCATTTACGGCTGCACGACACCTCATAGGACACACCCTACCCATACTCCAAGAGCACCGTACCACATTTGATGGGGTTCAAAGTAGGAGGCAACCAATCTTAGAGGGAATTTTTTTTACAAACTTATAGAAGGGCTTAATGACCTCTGGGTGAAATACAACAATCTTCACACTCTTTCCTCTAAGGATAGTCTTTTGTAGCATTTTCAGCAACTTTTCATAACAAACAAATACAAAATTTATTATTTCGGTTCTGCTTTGAGGCAGGGATTGGGGTTCAGGATGGAAACATCCAAAACATGATGGTAGGAAGGTGTAATAGTGGTGGGACTGGTGTTTGAATATTAAATGTAATCAAACATTGTGAACTACTTTATAAATTGGGCTGGACGGATAGCACAACCGGTAGGGCATTTGCCTTGCATGGGGCCGACACTGCCAACCTGAGTTCGATTTCTCCGCCTCTCTCGGCGAGCCTGGCAAGCTACCGAGAGTATCTCACCCATATAGCAAAGCCTGGCAAGCTGCCCGTGACATATTCGATATGCCAAACACAGTAACAAGTCTCACAATGTTACTGAGCCCGCTCGAGCAAATCAGTGAACAACGGGAGGACAGTGACAGTGAAAGTGACTTTATAAATTAAAAAAAAAATTTTTTTTAAAGTGGGTCTACTTCAAAACACTCACCCAGCCTGGGAACTGGTCTACAGCCCTGAGTGGCCCGAACGTAGGCCAATGGGAAGGGTAAAGATGGGAGACACTCTGGTGGAGGGTGTGGTGTTGGAACACTGTGTGCAATGAAACCCTGTCATGAACAGTATTATAAATCAAAACCTGGAATGAAATTTTAAAAAATTAAACCCTTATACATTTGTTGGCTTTGGGGGGTGGGCAGGGAGAGTAACAAGCATTATTACTTGCTGAAATTGAGAGCCTGCCACTAGCAACGTCTATGAGGGTTGAGGTGTGACCCTCAGTGGTAGAACACACTCCAAGCAGGTGTGAGGCCCTGAATTTGGTCCCAGGATCTGCACGAACCCCCAGGCACTGCCAGATAGATCCCTGTGGTCCTCAGCATAACCAGGTCTGAACAATAAATCAAACTAGATATCACTGGAGGAGGCCCCCCTGAGAGGTCCTCCCAGCACCACTGGGTGTGACCCCTATAAAAGTGTTTATTATAAACCTACCCATCCCTTCCCTGCCCCAGGAGGGGGTTACCTTTTAAACTGCAGGAGGTCCAATAATGCTAAAGGAGAATAAAATGAAAAGAGAAAAAAAAAGTCATTTCAGAGAGATCACTAAGGCATTCCATTAGAAATGCTCAGAGGCAGAGAGAGGGGACATTACCATTCAGAAAGCGTCCAGCTATTATTTCTTCCTAAAAGGCAAAGAGATAACATCAAGCACAACATACAAAGTTGCTGGCCACAGGAGAGGGGATTGGAATGAAAAGAACAGGCAATACTCACCACCATTTTTTGCAACAATGGAGGCAAATCTGTAAGAAAGTCATTGCACATAGTAATTAGAATTGAATTCAAAAATGGAAATAGGGGTGAGGAAAAGAGACACTCCCCCTTCTTCTCCGAAGGAAGGAAGGAAGGAAGGAAGGAAGGAAGGAAGGAAGGAAGGAAAGAAGGAAGGAAAATTGAAATCTTAATTATACCCATGTCCACAGGCTAGAGCGATAGCACAGTGGGTAGGGCGTTTGCCTTGCATGCAGCCAACATGACTGACCCGAGTTCAATTCCTCCGCCCCTCTCGGAGAGACCAGCAAGCTACCAAGAGTATCTCACCCACACAGCACCGCCTGGCAAGCTCCCCGTGATGTATTCAATATGCCAAACACAGTAACAACAAATATCCAAAGGGAGACGTTACTGGGCCCACTCGAGCAAATCAATGAACAACAGGAGGACAGTGACAGTGACCCATGTCCATGCAGGCCCATATGAGAAAACCTGGCTTGGAAATTCTGTTAGACTAATCCTAAAATTCCCCACAAAACATGGGCCCCCAAAAGACTATCGAGCACCACAGACTTCACCCGCCATGGTCTTGCAACATTTCTGAGATGGAATCGAGCCAGATCATTTTTGATCGATGGTTCTGGCCTCAGACTCACCTTGAGTGGATGGTGGGACACCAGGACCGGCCACTCCATGGCTCACAAAAAGGAACAGGAGAAGCAAGTCCGTCCTCGGCTCCTGAGACATTGTCCTGGCATCAGTTCTGTGCAGACAGTCCAGCTGTATCTTAAAGATCTATGTAAGGAGACAAAAGGCAGAGACCCACCAAACAAGAATCTCGTGAGGTCTTTTTAAACGAATTCTTCAGAGAGACATGATTGTTTACCATAATGAGATCCAAATATAAAATAAAATGTAATGTAACATACTTTAGATTACAGAGTTGAAAACGTATATAGGTAAATGAGAATAGACATTTTTATATTGTATTAAATAGTTTTAATTTCCTTATCGATATAGGTCAAGACCATGTAGTAATCACTAATTGGCCCTTACTGATATATTTTCTGATCATTCTATGGGTCTGTTCTGTTGGAATAAGCAACATAAAGTAAATTTGTTATGCGCCAAAGGAGGCAGATTGGGATTGGGAGGAAGCTGGGGATATTGGTGGAGGGAAGGTCACACTAGTTGGTGGTGCTGGACTGCTAAATGCCCGAAACAACTGTATCGTGAACAACTTTGTAAATCACAATGTTTTTAATAAAAATTAATTACAAATTTAAAAATTAAGCGGTAGGGCATTTGCCTTGCACACAGCCAGCCCGGCCGAGCTGGGTTCGATTCCTCCACCCCTCTCGGAGAGCCCGGCAAGCTACCAAGAGTATCTCGCCTGCACAGCAGAGCCTGGCAAGCTACCTGTGATGTATTCGATATGCCAAACACAATAACAACAAAAGTCTCCAATGGAGACGTTACTGGGCCTGCTCAAGCAAATCGATGAACAACGGGAGGACAGTGACAGTGACAGTGAACTTTTAAAAAATGAATTCTTAAATTTCATTGCTCCTTCCAAACCCTTACCCTAGTCTAAGATACAAACAATTTGGGCCTGGGAGGTAGTATAGTGGTCAAGGCACATGCCCTGCATACACCCGACCTAGGTTCAGTTCCCGGTACCACATGATTTCCCTGGCACTGCTAGGTGTCACCCTGGAGATCCCTAAAACCTTCATGATGGCCCAAGTCTTCTTCCCCAGCCCCCACACCATGGGGTGGAGCAGCATCAAATGTTCAGGTTCTTATCCTGAACCAACTACCCATTCAGCCACGCTATCTGCCATGGAGCCCTGGAAACCTCCGGAGAACCACTCACACACGAACACTTAGAAGTGTTTGCCTCTAAGCAAAAAGTGAAAACTATAGTTATTTCTCTCTTGGGTCACCACAATGACCTGTTTATATTCTTACAGCTCTCCTAGTGCCCTCAACCCAGCAGAGAAGGCGTCATTGATAGCATAAACCTAGGGCCCAGGGAAACAGCTCAAAGGGCTACAGCACATGCTTTGCATACGTGAGTTCTGCAGTTGACCCCTGGTCCCAGCTGGTGGGATCAGGGACCCCTGAGATCCTGTGGGAGTCCCCTTCCTGCAAAAGGCATGGACTCTGGTGGGGATAGACAGGATGTGGCTCAAGCGGGTAGCTTACATGCCCAGGATGTGCCAGGCTTAAGTTTGATCCCCAGCACTGTTCTATCCCCCTAAGTACCACCAGGAGTTGCCCCTATTTATTTTTATAGAAAGCATTTATGGGGACCAGAACAATAGTACAGTGAGGAGGGCGATTGCCTTGCACACCGCCGGCCTGGGTTCAATCCCTGGCATCCCATAGGGTCCCCCAAGCACTGCCAGGAATAATTCCTGAGTGCAGAGACCCCAAAAGCCAAAATAAATAGTTAAATAAAAATGTAAAAGCACTCATAATAAGTGCTTTTATACATTTATATGTATTTAAATTTGCATCCAAAATATTAAAAAGAACTCCTATAGGTCAGTAAGATTAAAATAAACAAGCCAAATGGTGGGGGGGAGGGGAGAAAATACATTAATTTTAGCTTTTTTGTTGGGGTAGTCATGAGTCACAAAATATTTGATAACAATAATAGGCAGAATGCACAAAGAACCAAATTTAGTTCGAAACTGACTGCACGAATGCAAGTGTTTCTGGCAAGTGCATGTGGCATTTTTGGGGCATGAAGGAGGTGGCAAGTGGAAAAAGTGTAAGAAGCCCCACACAAGGGCAGTGGTTACCACCCATCTTACACTGAGAGGTTTCAACCTCCCAAGCTTCTTGCTTTGAGCTGGTCCCAGTGTGTAGCACCAGTTGAAAGAGCATTAGAAAAAAAAAAAAGAGCATTAGAATGGCTGGGAGCCAGAAGGAATACTCGGGAGAGAGTGCTCAGGAGGTGGGTGTGTGCTCTGCAGGCAGGAGGTCTGGGTTCAATCCTGAGCAAAGCAATGGACCTAGAACTAACAATATAGTCTATGATGAACAGCAACAAGAACTCTTCTACACTCTGGTACCGTCACTACTTGGCAGCATCTTCAAGTTAAGTACCCAGATCTCTGTGATCCAGGGATTCCTCTCACAGGTATTTATCCCAGAGACTGTCACTGTCCTCCCATTGTTCATAGATTTGCTCAAGCGGACCCAGTAACATCTCCATTGGAGACTTTGTTGTTACTGTGTTTGGCATATCGAATACGTCACGGGGACCTTGCCAGGCTCTGCCGTGCGGGCGAGATACTCTCGGTAGCTTGCCGGGCTCTCCGAGAGGGGCAGAGGAATCGAACTCGGGCCGGCCGTGTTGGCTGCGTGCAAGGCAAACACCCTACCCACTGTGCTATCACTCCAGCCCATCCCAGAGACATTAAAAGAAATACCAATCCAAAGATTCACAAAGGGGCCAGAGCGACAGAACCCATAGAATCCCTGGATAGGATAGTGTGTTTGCCTTGCACGGTTTGTTTGTTTTTCTGAAAATGGCAGAGAGATAGTAGAGCAGATAAGGCACTTATCTTGCAGATAAGGCACCTACCTCATAAGGTCCCCTGAACCCATCAGGAGTGATCCCTGAGGGCAGGGTCAGGAGTAAGCCCTGAGCATCACTGGGTGAGGGCCAAGGAAGGGAGGGAGGGAAGGAGGAAGGAAAAAATGAAGGAAGGAAGGGAGGGAGGAAGTTAGTTTGGGAAACTTTAGACTAAAACATGTGTCCCAGGAAAGAAGTCGATAGCAGAAACAATATTTGAATGACGGTAATTATTTTCAAGTTGAATAAAACAATAAACTCATCAAGAAGTTTAACAAACTCCAAGTAGTAGAAACATGAAAAAGAAAGCATACCAAGTCCCATAGTATAATTCAAATTGCTGAGAAGCAATCACACATAATTCCACAAATAAACTGTACCCAGAACACATAATGAACTCTCAAAGTTGGACAGTAACAATAAATAAGCAATTCAATTAGGAAGGGAATAAAAATATGAGCAGACATCTTACCAAAGTAGATATACCACTGAGCACTGAAAAAAATGCTCTATAATATGATCGACCATTAAGAAAATGAACATTAAATTCAAATCACTACAGACCTATCAAATTTTTTAAGTAATAATAAAGGAATAACGCCATATGTTGGAAAAGAGGCAGAGAAACTAAATTACTCAAGCATTGCTTCTAATACAATTAAATGGCTCTTCTGGAAATTACTTAGGAGTTTCTTATAAAAACTAGACATACAAACATACAGTCCAGCAACTGCACTCTTGAGCATAGATTGCAGAGAAATGAAAAACTTATGTTCACATATAAGCTATACATGAATACTCACTTATAACCCAAGCCTGAAACCAATCCAAATGCCCTTCAGTGAGTGAATGAGTAAACAGTGACCTATCTCTGTCACGGAATACTTCTCAGCAATGAAAAAGGAAGAATCTATAGATGTGCAGTGGATAACATGGACTTCAACAGAATTATGCGTACTTACTGGAGGAGGGAAGGACAGTGAGTCACAAATGATATGATTTCATTTATGTCACATTTCTGAAATAAAATCACAGGGATGGAGACCAACTCCATCCAATGGGAACTGGGAAACTAGTCCAAAGGGCTGGCGCTCATGCTTTGCAAAAAGGGGGCCAGAGATTGGATCCCCAACACTCATGATCGCCCTAACTGGGAGTGACCCTCAAACACTGAACCAGCAGTGGCCCTTGAGCACCACTTGATGTGGCCCAAAATGACAATGTCTTTGCTTCATGTCAATCCCCTAGTGTTGATATGGCCCTGGAGGAGAAGGGGAAGGGGAGAGAGATGGATGAGAAGCAGCAGGGCACGTAGGGCCCGGCGCACTGGGATTCAGGTACAGTGTGGTGTTAAGGAAGGATCGAACTAAGTATCCAAGCCACGGAGCCAACAACTCTGAAATCACGAGATCCAAACTTTAATAGCCAAACTCAAAAGGAGCCTGTCAGATGGCAGCTGGGGCTGGGGTGGGGGTAGGAGAGGGCACATGGGGTCACTGGTGGAGGGAAGTTGACCCAGAGGCAGGATCAGTGATGGAACATTGTAGGTCAAAAACCCAACTATGAAGAACTTTGTGACTCATGGTCACGTTCCTCCCGTTGTTCATCGATTTGCTCGAGCGGGCCCAGTAACGTCTCCATTGGAGACTTTGTTGTTACTGTGTTTGACATATCAAGTACGTCACGGGTGGCTTGCCAGGCTCTGCCGTGTGGGCGAGATACTCTGGGTAGCTTGCTGGGCTCTCCAAGACGGGCAGAGGAATCGAACTCGGGTCGGACATGTTGGCCGCTTGTAAGTCAAATGCCCTACCGCTGTGCTATCACTCCAGCCCGTGACTCATGGTATGTTCATAAAATAAAATTTGGGGTGAAAAAAGAGTACTGGGCATGATCCTTTCACCTTTTCGCAGTTTCCCATGAATCTGCTTTTATTAGACCCCCCTCTTTGCCCCTCACTCCCTAAGCCTCCAGCCAGTTTCCTCCTGCCTTCCTCCTTCCCCCCTGCCCTACTCCCACTCCCCACCACCACCACCAATGAACCACACTTTTTTCCAAATCAAGGTCGGCTCACAATTGTTCCCTCTTCCCCAGAGCGCCCTCCGCCAGGCTCACAGCCATCCATGGCCCACCTCAGTAAACCCATCCCTGAATTCTCTAAGGCAAGACAATTCGCTAGACTAAAAGGCCACGATCCTATC